TGCCACATGTCTTGTCCCCACAGGGGTCAGTGGCCTACCCTCCACCATTGATACTTCCAAGTAGAAATCCAAAGGATTAAACCTTTGTACACAACCCAGCTGTCAGTACACATGGTTAATGGCCCAGCCTCATTTTTTTAAATCACCATTCGTGCTGCTCTCAATTCAGCCCATTGACTGCTTTGCCCTGTGCCATTTTCATACCACATGGCATCTGTTAAGGGCTGAACGGCAACAGCTGTCCACAGTGCTAAAAGTCCCATGCTAGAGCCATCTGTATACCAAGCTTGCTCTTTGATAGTTCCCTGTTCTTCATGGAAAGGTGTAGCCTCCACCTCCATGGGTAACGGTTGTGTCAAAGTTTCCTCCACAACCTCTACTGGGCCTAGCACAGTTTGCAGCTCTTTGGACAGAGGACTCGTTGACACAGTGCTCCTTTGTTCTATATATGCTCCCCATTTAGACAGAGTGGGAGTCTAAGCTATGCCCATTTTAGGGTTGGTGGCCCATGTGTACAGCCAACCTAGTATGGGGTATGTCATCCTTACTAGGACTTTGGCAGTTCCTGTGATAGCTTCAGAGGCCATCAAGGCAGAATACACAGCTGCTAACTGTTTTTCTATTAGAGAATAACACACTTCAGCACCCTTCCAGAGCTGAGACCAGAATCCTACCAATGTTCAGAATTGGTCTTGTCTTTGCCACAACCCCCATCCTAACTTCTCTTGGATTATAAGTATGTCTAATTCAAAAGGCTTAGTGGGATTGGCCACTTGTAAAGCCTGTACTTGCTGTATTGCCCATTTTGTAGCTCAGTAAGCCTGTTCTACCTCCTCAGTCCAATCCCGGGGAGCTCCTTTCTTTGTTAATGCATATAGTGGGCATGCCATTTGGGCTATATCGGGTACAAAAGGTCTCCAATACCCCGGAAGTCCCAAATATGCCTGTAGCTGAGCTACCATTGTGGGTCAAAGGTATGCCTGTATCTTGTCTATAATAGCTTCTGGGATGACTCTCATCTTATGTGACCAGACCAGGAATTTGACTGACTGCCCAGGTCCTTGCACTTTGGCTGTGTTCACGGCCCACCCACATTGTTCCAAATAACTTAGCAGCATTGGAGCTGCCTGAGTTAAATCTGCAAGAGAATAGAGGATAGTAACATGTCATCAATGTAGTGAAACATTGTAACCATGCTGGGCCTAGTCCACTTGGCTAGGTCCCCAGGCACTAAACCATGAAAGATGGTTGGGTTATGCAGATAACCTTGAGGCAATACTTTAAAGAAACCATGACAGATGGTTGGGCTATGCAGATAACCTTGGGGCAATACTTGAAAGGTCCACTGCCTTCCTTCCCAGGTGAAGGCGAACTGATCTTGGCTATCAGCTGAGATTGGAATAGAGAAAAAAGCATTTGCAAGGTCCAATACATAATGATAAGTTCCAAGCTGAGTCGTCAGCTGATCCATCAAGTTGTGAACTGAAGGCACAGCCACATGCAAAGGAGGCACTACTTTGTTTAGTTCTCGACAGTCTATAGTCATTCTCCAGGTACCATCAGGCTTTTTCACTGGCCATACTGGAGCATTAAATGGCCTCTGAGCTGGACAAATAATGCCAGCTTTCTCTAATTCCAACATAGTAGCACTTATCTCTGCATGTCCTCCTGGTAGGTGATACTGCTTTACAATCACCACACGTCCTGGCTTGGGTAACATCCGTGGGTCATGTTTAGCATACCCTCGTAACACAGGCTTTACCGTCCATATTTGCAGCTGAAACTCTCCAACTGTTCTTTGCAGGTGCAAACCATGAAGTACATTCATGCCCAAGATGTATTCAGCTACTGTGGATATATATACAGTACATACACAAGGGGGTGATCATCATGAGGGGGTAATCGTCCTATGCCCAGTGGCAGTGACACAGCTTTGACCTCAGTAGTATGTCCTCCATAGCCATCTACATGAACTGTGGCTGCTGGAAACTTATCTGGATTGCCATTTATCAGGCTACATTCTGCACCTGTATCCACCAATGCCAAAACATGCTGCACATTTGTCCTCAAACAATGTATTGCCAATTCACCGTGAGGCCTCTGGTCCTCGCCTGTCCCCAAAAGATGGGTACCTTGGCCTGCTCCCTAGTCAAAGTGGAACACTTCATCTGCTTCCTCAGGAGCAACCAAAAAATCCTTTAAATCCACTGAGTGTACCTTGCTACCTGTTTTTGGACATTGAGTGAAATGCTGTTCAGGGAGCAATTGCTGCCACAGGCAAATAGAACTGCATTTGGCTGCTGGTCAATTTTCTTGTGATCAACCCCTGCTGCAAGCAAGTCAAGCCACATCTGTTTACGGCAAGTCTTGCTTGGTCCCCTCAGGATAAAATCCTGAGAATTTCTTGGGGGGTTGGCCTTAGCCACCTTTCAGACCCCTTTTGCTTTTCTTCCATCCTCTACTTCACCCAAGCTGGCTATCATGGTTGTTACCTCATGTATAGGACGACCAACATATGGGGCCAGTATGGCCA